AAGATTGCAGTCAACCAATTTTGATTTCAGCTAGCTCATAAAATATTTTTTAGGGCCAATATAACCTGAGTATAGGTTAACAGCTTGCCAGAGAGGATAGCTGATACATGTATTCTCATTTTCATACACTTAAGCAATTCAAAATATCGTTCTCTGTAGTTCTTGCAACTACCTTAGTTCCATAATTCATTTTCCAAGTTCAGTGGCTCATAACCCATCGTTACGAGATCCATTTGCAATCCCCATAGCCAGCTTACTCAGTCTGAATATTAATGTTACTAAATCACAAATAGCTCCTTTACACAGGACCATAGCATTTAACTGCCAAATTCACAAGATATATCCATGATCATCAATTTACAGGAAGGTGAGGATATCACCAGGGAAGAGGATGATGATGATGAGGAGGAGGAGGACGAAGATGAAGATGAATATGATGATGAAGATGAATTTGAAGATGATAGACGACGCAGGAAGAGAAGGCGTCAAACTGGTTTTATATTAGAGGAAGCAGGTTTGTGTTCTTTGACACTGAAGTTGATCTTGTAAAGCTGTGGTTAACATGTAAATTATGCTTTTGCTATGAAATTTTCCAGACCAGTTTGATTTTTAAATCCCTTTCTTTCAGGTGATAATACCAAACTTGAAACAAGAGAAAATGATTTCAAAGTTTTATGAAAAATTTTAAATCCCGAAAAATGTTATATCATGACAGTTATGGGAGCATTCTTTTATTGTTTTTGTGGTATAAATTGTTTTGAAAAGAAATTGTCAGTAGTACGTGTTGAGTATATTGCAGTTACATGTAGCTTTGGATGGTTGATGCAGTGCATGAAGTTGGATAAAAATCACCAAAAATGTCACAAAATTCAATTTTGCATGGTCATTAGCAATTTTCCTTAAAACAGACGTTTTGGTCATCTAATGGTATTTAATATAGTAGAGGTAGAATTGTGTCACTGTTGTTTGCAAAGCTTTAAATTCATGCAGAAACATTTTGCTTTAAATATTGGAAAACTTATTCCTTGCAGATTGACCTACACATACCAGGCTGGCAGATGCCATTTTTACAAAATACAAATATGTTGATGCACAGTTTTCTGTCTTTTGTAGATGTTGATGATGATTATGATGAGGATGGTGAACAAGCTGAAGATGGATATCATGACTTAATTGATACAAGTATGAAACAAAATAAATGATATCATTTAATGGCTACAAGTAATGTTTTGTATGTAAAACTGCAGCTATGATTATTTGATTTTTGTGCTCTTCAAAGTAGATTTTTTTTTCCTTATCTTAAGAAAGTAAATAATTTATTTCTTTTGTCTGGCTTAGCTGAACGAGATGATGAATCACTTGATGCTGATTTATCGGTGAGGAAAACAAAACAGTAACGTAGTTCTTTTATATTGATCTGTTGTCAGACAAATTTGTAATACTTCATGTTTAATGCCTAACAGTAAACAAGGATGATGTCTTGAGGGGAATCAAATACAGGTCTAAAGATATATTAATTAAATAATTATTACGTATCAATACCCATAAAGACATGAGAGATCATCACATTTATGTATCGAACTTGGGCAGTTGGCAAAAAAAAAACAGAAAAAGAAATTGGTGGATTCAAACCCATGGCCTCTGTGACACCAACATAGTGGTCTTGGGTTTCAATCACCTTCAAGCCTTAATTGTTTTCAGGCTTCTTTTCACAACTGCTCAAGTTGTTTACCTACACTGTACCTGCATCGAGTGCAATAATATCTGATGTCTTTAGATTTTTATCCTGAAGTTCAAATGTATGATTTTCTGTAATATTATTGTACAGTGAAACTTGTATTAGGCGGATCCCATATTAAGCGGCATCCTCTATTAAGTGGACACCAGCTTGAGTGCCGAAATTTTCTTCCCACATTTACTATAAAATAAACCTGCATTCAGCGTGCACGTCTGTTAAGCAGACGCGGACACCAATATTAAGCCATTTTGCTGCACAAAACCTGCAATAAGCAGACATTTCAAGGGCTTTTTGCTTCTGAAAGTTCAACTCAGACCCCTTTAACATTGTTTAGCGATGTCGTCTTAAAGCTAAGTGATTATTCCAGATTGATGCATTGACTGACTGGACATACTTTGAGCAGTCTTTGATCTTACACCGTGTTACACTGAGTTACAAAAGGGTTAATAATTAAATATTACTGCACAATATATTAGAACCTGCTTAGAGTGGACACCCCGTATTCAGCGGACACTAGTGAGGGTCCCAAGGGTGTCCGCTTAATACAGGTTTCACTGTAATTACAAATGTATCAATACCATTACATTTCAAGCATGTTCAGAGAAGTCACTTTGATTAAGAAACAATCTTTAATCGAACGTCTTCTTTTTAAGGGTGCCAGACGTTTACAGCAGATGCTTGGGTATGTTCAGCTGTAATATCTAGATAGCAAACATTTTCATAGCACAGTCACCACAGTGCAACCCCATTAATCTGGTCATCAACGGACCTCATAAATCTGGCTGCATTAACAGTGTGGTCATAATCAAGGGGTTCAAATACTGGCCAGAATAAAGTAGCAATAATAATGAAGTGGCCTTATGAAAGGGT